GAGGCCGTGTCCCACATACAGCAACTAGAAGGATGTGCAACTATGACATACAACTATCTACTGGGGCTTTGGGGGGGAAAAAGAGGAGGACTGGCAATAGATGTTAGCTCAGAGCCGGTCTTCCTCAGCAAAAAGAGGAGGATTAGCATGGATGTTAGCTCAGCGCTGATCTTCCTCACAAAAAAATTAAAAAAAATTAAAAAATAAAAAAAAGAAATCATTTGCTAAGGACAGGTATTTCTCAATTGATCTTACTTGTACCTATTATGGGTAGTTCCCAATCAATAGTTGCTTGCATTCCAAAATTTGTTGCTCTCTCTCTTTTTATTCTTTTTTTCCTGTACCTACTCACCAGAAATATTTGAGGGAGCTAAGTTTATTTGTAAATCAGTTGTACGGAGTTTGGAAAAAGTTTTCTTATAGAAGTAATGGTGTGTGTGTTGAGTAGGTTGGGTTCAGTTGAATAATCTTTTGTTGATCGACCAAAACATACTAAGCCCTGAAAATACAGTCTAGCGAGATGTCCCTGTTCTCCAGCAGCATGAAGTTTTGTAATTGACACTGTGATTCGCACAGCAGTGAAGGGATGTGTAAGGTACAGTAGGTGCATACAGGAGGCTAGTGTGTTATAGGCTTTTGGTGAGTGGATCTGGGAGCACAACTGCTATGCCCAACATGTTACTCAGTTAGAGCTCCCCCCACCCCAGCCCTACTCTCTACACCTCTAAAAGGATGGCTTCATCCAAGCCTAAGGGACAATCAGAAGGTTGGACCTATGGCCTATCTTGCATACGTCCTTTTCAGCACCTCCAGGTGGATGGGTCTCTCTACTGCCACCGATGGCCACCGACAGCCCCCAGGGACTGTGCCTTGAAATGCACTTGAGGAATGCGTGTGCCCTCTCCACTTGAATAGATTTTCCTTCTGGCATAGCTGTGCCAGGAGACTAAGCCCTTTCTTGCTTTGCCTGGGGGCTGATGGCATCACAAACAAGCCACATCGCCTTTTAATGACTGCTCCCTTTGTCAATAGCTCCAATTAAGTTATTTCAATTCAAAGCCTCCCTCTATTAGGTGCGGGGATGGCAAGAGTCGTTGCCAACCTCCTCCTACACAGGAATTGTGCTGGGTACAATTAGGAGAGAAAATTATTTCTCCTTGATTAAGAAGTTCTTCGGCATCTGCAGGCAGCGTTGGGGAGAGATGGAGTTGTGGTGGCTCAGAGAACGCTTATCACTTTGCAAGGCTCTGGATGGACTGTGCTCTGGGCCTCCTCAGCCTGGAAGCTCATTTGTCGTCTGAAAGTTCTTGAAATTGGATGCTGCGACATTTTAGAATTGCAGCAGAATTCTTGCCAACGGTATAAGATTGATAACACAATACGAGGAAGTTTGGCTGGTTCTCAAAGTGAAAACTGGTCTCTAAAAAGATCAGAGTGAGAAGTGGACTTTCCCAGGGCTACACCACAGCTAAAAGGGATCAAGAAAATGGCAGGGGGTGGACCCCAAACCAGGTGAATTCAACAGGTTGGCGAAACAACACAGAAGGAGAGCAGGAGAGAGACTCTCCCAGCTGATTTAAGGGGTTCATCATGGTTTGGTCCCCATATCAAATTCTCAGGAGGGCTTTGAATATTGCCTGAGAATTTATTTTTTTCAAGAATTACTATGAGATGAAAAGTGATGTGGGTAGGCTTGTGCAAACAATGTCCCAGAGAACATTTGGTTCCAAGACTCACATCACAAGTGAAATTAGAATGTGGGCCATTAGTGTGGGTGCCATTCTACAATTTTTAAAATATTTTAAGTTGGTGAGAATATTATTTCCAAATCCCTTTGGTTTGTCTTTTTTATCATTACATTACACTTCCATTTCACCCTCTGCATTTGTTTCAAGTGCAATTAAGAACCTCACCAGAAGGCAAATGATTCACCTGCCTCCAATTGGTTAAAAAATGTTTATATTTTGTTGTTGTTGATACAACCCAGATAAGACACACCATCAAAAGGAACAAAAAATGTTTGGCACAAGAACATAGACTTCCACCCCCAATATTGTTATCCTGGCATTTACTTTTGTTAATGATTTAGAACTTTTCCCCTAACATCCATGCTACTGACCCAAACCAGAAATCTTTTTTTTTAAAATCATATTATTGGCGTTATAACATTTACCATTTAAAATCTCATATTTAATAAATGATACAAGTGTCATCTATGGGTTCGAGAGTCTAAACGTCTCAAGTAACATCCAAACTCCAAGTTGCATAAAAATCAGCCACTTGGTTTTCAAGTCTTTGCAGTCCCTTGCACAATTCTCCAAAACCTTGGCGAATTTGCCAGACTGAAGGTGACGTGCTTGGTGGACCAGTGCCCCCGGGTGTGCAGATTTCTGGAGGGAAACCGCGTTCTTTATTCTTTGGGTTACTGAACAATGGATGGGGGCCGGTACCTTCCTCTTTCTAACAGAAGATGAGGAGGAGGAGGCTATTCTTTTAAAGAATCCTCCCTCCCACATCCACAGTGCTGGAGAACTGTGAGGATGGAGAGCTGAAGAGAACGCAGAGTATTCGCCCTTCCTGGGAGCAAAACCTGCTTTGCAGGGGGACCCGTGTCTTCCTCCCCCTCTATACTTTGTGGCTCAAGGGATGGGCCCAGTCTTTGCTCAGAAACTATGGAATCAGCTGTCAAAGGTGCTGACAGCTTCCTTCCTCGTGTGTCTGTCCCCATGTCGCACCTGGTACGTGACATGAGTTTGTGCTCTAAATCCTGTGCTGACCTCCCAGTGCCTCTGTGCCACTGTTTGACATCTGGTTCCGGGGAGTGGCTGCTCAAGGCTGGCTCTCTGTCTCCCGAAAGAGCCCTGCAGACTCCGTGACACAGAAGGCAGGGCCTCTGCCCCCCAGCTTGGCTCTGTGCTCATGACATCTGCTGTCAGCTCTGCCAGGAGATGAAGCTGGGTCAGACGTTGCTCTGCGAGCCTTCTCTGCCTCTTTTGAACTTTCCATCAGGCCACAAGGATGGCCCGGGAGGCTCAGAAATAAGTTCCTTGCAGATGCAGCCACCTCCCACCATCTGCACCTGTGCGGCCGCTCAGATCAGAACTTCGGCTCAGAGAAAGCATACCTCCTAAATTATCAAGACATCGACTGTGGTAAACGGCTCCCTTCTGTCAGTTGCCATAATGTAAGAGTTGGAGAAATATGCTCTTAGCAGTTATGAGGAAAAGGAGGTATTGACACAGCCAGCTCCTAATCATCCAAGGGCCACTTCTCGAATTTGAGAGTTTTATAGTTCTGTCAGTGCTACTACACTGAGGGTGAACATAGCAAGGAAAGGATGTACAAATTTATTTATTTTGCTCTTGTTAAAAAAAATAAAGTCTGATCAGAAGTTTGGAGGAATTAGGGCTGAAACGTAAAATTAGATTTGGGGGTGATCTGTGGATTGTATTTTTTACCACTGTACCCAGAAGCATTCAACAACAGTTTGTATACTTCCCTGTTCTTGCTCAGGAAGATTTATCTTCAATAGAATGAAAGAGAAGATTTCCATGTTAGTTTTTCTGCAAAGGGACTTTTCTTACAGACTGAAGAAACTCTCTCCTTCACCATCAGTATATTCCAGTGGAAAGAGCCAAACAAGGGTGAGATTGACCTGGGTTCACATCCTATCTGGCCCATATCTCCTGAGTGGCGTCAGAAAAGGACCTCATGGGAGGCTCATTTTCCTTATCTGTCAGGTGCAGATAAGGGTAATTGTCAGAGTTGTTGAAAGGATTACAGTAGAAACCTTTATGAATGACTAGCATAAGACCCGGATCATGGCAGGCACTTAATTCGGGTTAGGTCCTTCTGCAAGGAGGTTGCTGTAGAGGCCACTTTCCAGCTGGGTCACTTTGGGCAAGTCCCTTGACCTCTCAGTCCCTCTGCGCCCTCACCTGTAACTTGGTAATAATGATGGTAATGATAATTCAGCTCTTCCCCCCGCGGACTATTGGGGTAAGTGAGTTAATGCATCCCAAACCCGTGGACCACACAATTCAACATAGAACAAGTGCCTTGTGAGCTATAGCTATTTTTAGTTTCTGTGCTTCTTAATTTTTCTGGAATGTTTATGCTGTGACACCTCAATCAGATATATTTGAGTAAAAAGGAGGTTTTGCTTGAGAAGAAGATTTCCTGTCTTTTCTTGTATTTATTTACTCTCTGCACAAATATGTATGGCAGGCACTGCTGATTGCCAGACACTGGGTGGGCATCCAACACTGAGCGGTAGCCTCAGGGCCAGGGACAGGAAGTGTGGGAATAGAACAAAATGAGCCCAAACCCCCCGGGATGGATGAGTCTTGATGAATGGTGGATTAGAACCACGGAAGTGAGATGAAATAGGATTTTTCCTGTTTCCCAGATGAGAAGATGAAATGACAGATAACCCACCCAAAACCTTAGCGAGTGAATGAAGAGCAGGCCTTATGCAGGATTCCCAAAGACCAGATTTTAGGTCTAACCTCTACGTGATTGTAAGCTCCGTGAAGGCAGAGAGAGGGGGCTTCACCTTCCTGTTCCCACAGCACCAAAAAGGCCCTACACGGGGGCCAGAAATGCTTCCTTGAATTAATTTGAGGTGAAGTCACACCCCAGGCCCCAAACTGAGTCTTTTCTCTGACTCAGTTTGGTCTGAGTTATGGTGCTTGATACAGCACTGACATGAAATAGCCACCTACTAGGTATTGGTTGATTGGTTGATTAATTGGATTTGATTGATAATCTCCAGTTACACACACAGACACATACACACACACACAAATACACACGCCCTCATTTTTTTCAAGTTAGGAAAGCCAACAAATACAACAGGTCATATATCTCTACTCAATTTTTAGAATCACGAAAGTTCAGCCTGAGTAGCACACAGAAAAAGAAAAAAAAAACCTAAAAAATGTCTTATGTCTTAGGCATTTAAATGGTCAGGCTTGTGTCTCTCCTTTGTCATTTCACAGCTCCTGAGGTCCTTGCCCAGAAACCTTACAGCAAGGCTGTTGACTGCTGGTCCATCGGGGTGATTGCCTATATCTTGTAAGTATTGCTTGCTGCCTTGGCTTCTTGTTCCCTTTTTTTTATTGTGGAGAAATATACACAACACAAAATTTACCATTGTAACCATTTTTAAGCGTACAGTTCGGCGGTATTAAGTACCTTCATATTGTTGTGCAACCGTCACCACCATCCATCTCCAGAACTCATTTCATCTTCCCAAACTGAAACTCTGTCTCCATTAAACACTAACTCCCCATTCCTCCCTCCCCCAGCCCCTGGCAACCACCGTTCTACTTTCTCTCTCTATCAATTTGACAACTCTAGGTACCGCATGTAAGTGGAATCATACAGTATTTATCTTTTTGTATCTGGCTTATTTCACTTAGCATAATGTCCTCAAGGTTTGTCCATGTTGTAGCATGTGTCAGAATTTCATTCTTTTTTAAGGCTGAATAATATTCCATTGTATGTATATGCTACATTTTGTTTATCCATGCATCCATCAATGGACACTTGGGTGGCGTCCATTTTTGCCTATTGTGAATGATGCTGCTATGAACATAGATGTACAAATGTCTGTTCAAGTCCTGCTTTCAATGATTTGGGGAGTATACCCAGAAGTGGAATTGCTGGATCATATGGTAATTCTATGTTTAACTTTCTGAGGAACCTCCATACTGTTTTCCAAAGCAGCACCACCATTTTCAGTCTCAACAGCAATGCACAAAGATTCCAGTTTCTCCATATCCTTGCTTGTTATTTTCCATTCTTTGATAACAGCCATCCTAATAGGTGTGAAGTGGTATCTCATTGCGGGTTGATTTGCATTTCTTTTATGTCTACTGATGTTGAGCATCTTTTCACGTGCCACCTCGGCTTTTCTGGGGATATAAACCACTATGAAAATATTAGAACAACTCCAAAAGAAATCACAATGGGTAAAAATGTGATGAAAACCAAAATTGAACCTTTGGATTCCCCATTTCTTCTCAGGTGCTTTGTCTCCATGAAACACAGTCATAGGCCACAGATTTGCTGCACTTATTTCGGGATGATCAGTTTGGGTTTTTATTGCTTTGTTTTGCTTAAGTCCACTATACAGTTATTTTTAAGTTACAGTTTCCTTTTGCAATGATGCTTTCAAACACTTATTATGGAACATAATTTTAGGGTGAATTTAGGTAAGCTAGTTTCTGTAATTGATAGGAAATGAATTTCTCTTCCTCCTTCTCCCCAACGAAGGAGATATTTTCCAGCAGACAGAGCCCGTTGCACACAGTGAAAGACTGTGGGGGATTATGTTCGGAGAAAAGTCTGACAGTAGCTGGCATCTTCAGGGAATGCTGGAAACATCTCCCGTATTGACTTTGTCTCATTATCTGGGAAACAAAGGGTCTTTCTACAGCATGCATTCAATTGGGCAGCTCTTGCAGTGTAGTGTGGATTTAGTTGACAGCTCCTGTAGATTCTTGCCATTATTGCAGGAGAGTTTTATCCATTATAATCTGCTTGGCCTGTAGGGCTCCCACTTAACGGAAATAGGTAAAGGCCTATAGCATCTGAGCTATAGAACTAACATATTGCACTTATATAGTGCTTTCACTTTCAAAGCACATTGACCACCTTCTGCAGTAGTTTCGTTCTTTTTAGCAGGGAGGTGGGTTACTGACCCTTTTGAGAATCTAATGAAAGCTGTGGACCCTCTCCCTGATAATTAAATGCACACACACAGACACACACACACACACACACACACGCCCCATATTAGGGGAAGCTTCTGGGTAAACAGATACTTGGCGTGGCCCTGTGTTGTTTACTCTGGCTTCCTAAACCCTCAACTAAACTTCTTATTAGAGGTCCTGCCTCACCAAGCTTAACTGTGAGAGGCTTAAAGAAATGAAGGATGGGCCAGTCCCCTTTCTGCAAAGGACTGAAGCTGGTGTCATCTAGAGAAGCCTTCCCTGGGGCTAGGCAAAAAATAGCCCTTTATCTGGCCTTCTGTTTGTTTCTTTACATCTATCTGAATATTGAACCACTACTCTGATCTGCACTAATGTCTGTAGATTCCCTTTGTATACATAATTGTGTGTATAATTATTTCTCTCAAGTCTTGGCGTCGGGGCAGGATATTGGTACAGCTATGAGGAGGTGTATTCTGCATTACTGGGTTAAGCAGTTTAAAACTAAGCAGTCATGGGCCAGCCCCACCGCCTAGTGGTTAAATTCAGCACACTCCACTTCAGCAGCCCAGGTTTGGTTCCCAGGTGTGGACCTACACCACTCTTCGGTGGCCATGCTGTGGTGGTGACCTATATACAAAATAGAGGAAGATTGGCACAGGTGTTGGCTCAGGGTGAATCTTCCTCAAGCAAAAAGAGGAAGATTGGCAACAGATGTTAGCTCAGGGCAAATCTTCCTCAGCAAAAAATAAAATAAATTATAAAACTAAGCAATAGTGTGTTAGTCAGCTTGGGCTACTATAACAAAATACCATAGATTGGGGGGCTTAAACAACAGACATTTATGTCCTGCAGTTCTGGAGGCAGGAAAGTCCAGAATCAAGGTGCCAGCTGATTCGGTTCCTGGTGACGGCCCTCTTTCTGGCTTGCAGATGGCCACCTTCTTGCTGTGTCCTCACATGGCGGTGAGAGAGTGCAGGTTCTCTGATATCTCTTATGAGGGCACTAATCCCATCCTGAGGGCCCCACCCTGAGGACCTCGTCTAAACCTAATCACCTCCCAAAGATGGCGTCTCCAGATACGATCACATTGGGGGTTAGGGTTTCAACATATGAATTTGGAGGGGGACACAATTCAGTCCATAGCAGTCTCATGGAAGAGACTGTGGACTGAATGTGGACTTGTAAAATGTGTGAAGTACTTAAAAGGAACAGTACGGGGTGCTCTGGTAAAGTAGAATAGGGGTTACCTCATTTCTAGAGAAGTGGTGGGGAAGGCTTCTTTGAGAAGTGGCCTTTAAATTGAAACCTCAAGGATGAGTAGGAGTTTTCCAGATGAAGGTGGGGGAGAAAGTATTCCAGGCAGAGTGAATAGCATGAGGGAAAGATGCTTTCAGCTGCAAGTAACAGAAACACCCAGCCCAACTGGCTTAAGTATTTTAAAAAAAGAAAGTCTTACCTCACATAATAATAAGTTCATAGGTGGGGAAGATCCAGGATTGCCCAAGTCAGCAGCCCCATCTCAGATTGTATCCATCTTTCTTCCCCGCCAACCTCAGTGTGTTGGCTTTTCCTTACAAGCCCTCCCAACAGACAAGGTGGCCGCCGGGGCTTCAACCCTCATGGTCGGACACAGTGCCATCTGCTGGAAGAAGAGGCGATGTTTATCCTCATATTTCTATACGAGCTAGAAAATCTTTCCCAAAAGTCTCTCAGCCGACTTTCCCTCATGTCTCATTGGCCAGAGATGCCTCCCATGCTCATTTCTAAAGCAGTCACTGGCAAAGAAAATGGGATTATTGTGGTTGCCCGAGTGAAGCAGGTGACCATGTGGAGGAGGGGAAAACCCTGAGTAAAATCACAGTCCTGCTAGTGAGGAAGAAGGCAGGAAATGGATTTGCAGCAGGCAACTCACTGTGTCCGCCGTGGCCCACAGGTAGGAACATATCGGAAAGAAGGCCTGCATGGTTAGAGTATATTATCAACACTGAAAATCAGAAAGTTATATTCAAGAGGTAGGCAAGAGCCAGAGGAAAGAGAGACTTGGCAGAAAGTTTGGGTATTAACCCAAGTGTAATGGGCAGCCAAAGAAGGATATTGACCAGAGGTGTGACCTGATCTGATTTTCACTCAAGTATTTTTATGGCTACTCTGAGAACAAGGGATGGGAGAGGGCAAGAGTGGAGGGTTGAGATTGGTTCAGAGGCTCTGGTCAGATGAGTGGCGATAGTTGCTGCTACCAGGAGGCGGTGATGGAAGTAGAGTGGTAGATGTGTTTTGGATGTGGGGGATGAAGGAGAGGGATGTTTCAAGTGTAAACCCAAGTTTCTGGCTTAAGCAATCGTGTAGATAGCTAAGGAGAAAGAAGGGGGGTGGTGGAGGAAGAAGTTTGGGGGGTGAGATGAAGAATTTAGTTTTTGGCATGTTAAACTTGAGACCCCTTTGAGATAGAATAGTGTATGTACATGTGGGATTTAGAAGTCTGGTGTAGAGATACTGGCATTGATATCTGGGTATGATTTGAATATTAATACATCCAAATCCTTATAATTACAGTATACAATACAGTATTTGCTGGGTTCAAATATAGCATTAAGCAAAGAAATACTGTACTTCTTTATTTCTATTTTAAGTATAAACTTGATAAGCTTAAACTTGACGGTTACGTGGTCACCACTAGCTTTGCTCCAAGGATTAGTCTCAGATTGATTTCACGACTGTGTCAGACTTCAAAATGGCAGCCTGGGCTTCTGTTTTCCTTGGTGCCTTCCAGAGCTCTGAGAGTCTCAAGCAGAGGATGAATGGACTTTAAACATCCAGTTGTACTTTCCAAGATGTTCACATCCTTATGAGTGATAGGCCAGATCCTGGATATAATTTGCTACCTAATATGGCTATTCTTGGAGAACCACTAGCCTTGAATTCATCATTATCATTGTCAACAGCTAGCATTTCTTGAGTCCCTTCTCTATTCCAGGCACTGGGCTAGGTGCTAAAGGTATCAAAATGACAAAGATGCGATACCTCTCATCAGAGTACTAACAATGTACATGGCACGTCAAGAAGTTTAGATTAAGTGACATGCAGGGAACCTTGTGTACAGCCATAGGAGTTCCTGGGATGAAGCAACCATTGAGGACAGAGGTATTCAGGAAGGAGGTGGCACCGTTCCAGATGTGTCTAGACGACTGTATAAGACTAACATAAACAGAGAGGAGAGAGGAGAGCATCCCAACCAGGGAAGGGATGCAGGTACAGGAACAGGGGTGCCTGAGGCACGTTTGAGAGCTGATGAAAATATTCTGTGAAAAGCCTGTGGCCTGGGTTGGTGTTCTTGCCACAAGGCTGGCTCTGGGTTGA